ATGAGCGCCGCCCCCTAGGGTCGGACACGACTGGACAAAAATTGTCAAGGGGAACCTTTACCTTTACCTAGTTTGGTTTTACAACGGTTCCAATCCTGCTGGCTGCTGGCTGTAAACCTTAACAGGACGAAGGGCTGTTTTTTCCTGTTTTGTGTGTCCCTGTGTGTTGAGGGACAGAAGACAGTGCAGAGTCTCTTCCTCACAATCAGAGGGCAAAGAGGGTGAGAACCAAGGGTTTTACTAGGCTAGGAGTGACCCAAACCCAGCCTGAAGGCTTAATGCTGCCCCATCAGGGGCTATTGTGGGTCCCTATATCCACCCCTGGCATCCCTAGGGCTCCCACAGGAAGCTCCCTCATCCCTTGTAAGGGACATGAGAGCAATTTTGCCAAGTTTGGAGGCAGGAGTGTTTTAGACTAAGAGAGACTCCCCCCCTCCCCAAACTGGAAGTCAGAAGCAGGACGGAGGAGGCGAAATCTATTCTTCATTGACCCTGGTTTTGTTTTTGCCATGTCCATTGAAACACATTAATACAGACTGCAACACATCCAGTTGCCTTAACGTTATCAGTATCTGTATTCCTGATAAAATGCAAGTATAAATTCTGTGATAAGAGAAAAAGAGCCTGTAGAGCCAACTTAGGAATGAATTCTCTGCTCCATTTTGAGACAAAGATAAATTCTGTTACAAGCTAAAACAATAGCACTTCCTTAATTTGCCTAATTGTCTTAGCCTGCAGAAATGGAGCGACTTGCTCAAGTGGAGAAGAACTGCAAACAAAGAATTTTCCATTCCGCCAGGCTTTCCCTCCAGCCAACTCAGTCACTGGCTGCCAAGGAAGCAGTTTTAAATGAGGGGTGCCATACCTTTTACTTGCTAAATGTGCTTTTAAATTCCCCATCAGTGATCAAAGATAGCAGTGCAAGCAGACCTCCACAATTGGGAGCAGAGTGGCAGTTAGACAAATCTTCATTATTATCTCTGATCAGAAATAATGTCAGGAATTCTTCTTCCTCCTGGTCCCTAGAATGATGGGTGAAAGTAGAAGCGGAACCTCTGCAGGCCAGATGGGGGAGCTTCTTGGACCAGACAAGTCCCACCAGCTAGAATCCCTCACCCTATTTAGATAGTAAGACAGAGGATTGAAAACACATGCTGTATCTGGAATACTGGTTTATTTACTAAATATACAGACTCTGCAGGTAAAGTTGTCAGGTTCTCCCATAACAGCAGCATTCGCACAGAGCTCCGGGTTACAGCAATTTTTTGCCTCCTTTCTTAAATCTTTTCACCCAAAGACCACGGTGACTGGGGAAGAGTCCGTTTTACCACTTCTTCCTGCCTTGCAAGTTTGTGTGTGTGGTTGACCATATAAATAGCCGAGGTGTTCTGCAGACTTAATCCCTCATTACAGCCTGTAGTTAAATTTGGAAAAGTGCTTGCTATTAGCACAGTGTCATGGAAACATAGCTCTCTGCTAAAGGAGAGTTGACACCTCCCTTTCTGTTTGGGGGAAAAGGCAGCAAACTGGAGCAGGGGGAAATGGAAGAGTGAAGCACTGGGAAACACAGCATGGAAGGTCAGGCAGTACATCAAGGGAGAAGGCTGAAGGCAGTAAAAAAATGGGTTCAAGATCACCCTGTTGAGATTTTATTTGCTAGACAGTATCAAAGGCACAGAGGATATGTTCCACATTTCACAGCAAGTTAACAGTCATGTCTACAGCCTTTTTACAACAGTCATAGTGATAGGCAAGCCTTTGCATTTATTTTAATAGCCCCTTAAAATTGCAGAAACTGGCTGGATAGCTCGGTGAGTTAGGTATCTGGCTGTGGAGTCAGATATTGAGAACTCAGTTCCCAAGAGAGGAGCCAGCCTTGGGTGAGCTATAAAGGCATAGAGTGCTCTCGAAGAAGGAAATGAGACGTCATTTCTGATTACTCTGTAGCCAAAAGAAGAAAAGAAAACCCTGGAAAGTCTCACCATCAGTCAGAATTGATGCCACAATAGAAATAATGACGTGCCTTTTACAAAGTTAAAACTCCATTCTCTTGCTACTATGACTAAGACTACTTGGGGGGGGGGAACTTGAGAGACATGGGAAAGGACAAAGTATCTTGCTATTTACTTTTCATTTCTTAGTTACATTTATATCCCACCTTTCCTCCAATGAGCTCAAAGTGGCCTCCACTGGCCTCCTTTCCGCCACTTTCTCCACCCAACAACCCTGTGAGGTAGGTTAGGCTGAGAAAGAGTTACTGTCCCAAGGCTACCCTCTGTGATTTTCATGACTTTTTGGAGACTTAAAGTGGCTTTTTCCAGCCTAATACTATTGAATAAATTGGTTAGAAATTGATAGCATCGAACTCCATGAGACGTTCTTAGGAAGACATAGGAATAACTAAATGTTCTTGATCACCCAGGAGCTGCACAGTCACCCAAAACAAGAGAGTGGATTTGTTTGTCTTCAGTGAATGAATTCCATTTTATTTAAACCTGGCCACAATAGAAATAATGACGTGCCTTTTACAAAGTTAAAACTCCATTCTCTTGCTACTATGACTAAGACTACTTGGGGGGGGGGACCTGAGAGACATGGGAAAGGACAAAGTATCTTGCTATTTACTTTTTTTTCTTAGTTACATTTATATCCCACCTTTCCTCCAATGAGCTCAAAGTGGCCTCCACTGGCCTCCTTTCCGCCACTTTCTCCACCCAACAACCCTGTGAGGTAGGTTAGGTTGAGAAAGAGTTACTGTCCCAAGGCTACCCTCTGTGATTTTCATGACTTTTTGGAGACTTAAAGTGGCTTTTTCCAGCCTAATACTATTGAATAAATTGGTTAGAAATTGATAGCATCGAACTCCATGAGACGTTCTTAGGAAGACATAGGAATAACTAAATGTTCTTGATCACCCAGGAGCTGCACAGTCACCCAAAACAAGAGAGTGGATTTGTTTGTCGTCAGTGAATGAATTCTGTTTTATTTAAACCTGGCCAATATTTACATTGATAAAGTACCTTAAGGAAGTGGAGTTACTGTAGGAAAACTGTATTTCTTCAATTAGATGGCATGAGATTTCTTTTGTTGCTTTGTTCATCTAGGTACTGCAACAATTCACACATTTAATTAATTAATTGTTTATTACATGTGTATACCACTGAAATTGGCACAGAGCACTACTCAGGGCAGTTAACAACAGAGACTCAAAAAGAACATGGTCTGACACATTAAATTAAACCATAATAATAATAAACGGAATCTTAAGACAGACTCCCTGAAAAGACCCTGATGTTGGGAAAGTGTGATGGCAAGAGGAGAAGGAGACGACCAAGGATGAGATGGCTGGACAGTGTCATCGAAGCTACCAACATGAATTTGACCCAACTCTGGGAGGCAGTGGAAGACAGGAGGGCCTGGCGTGCTCTGGTCCATGGGGTCACGAAGAGTCGGACACGACTAAATGACTAAACGAAATATTTAAATTGATAAAGTACCTTAAGGAAGCGGAGTTACTGTAGGAAAACTGTATTTCTTCAATTAGACAGCATGAGATTTCTTTTGTTGCTTTGTTCATCTAGGTACTGCAACAATTCACACATTTAATTAATTAATTAATTGTTTATTACATGTGTATACCACTGAACTTGGCACAGAGCACTACTCAGGGCAGTTAACAACAGAGACTCAAAAAGAACATGGTCTGACACATTAAATTAAACAATAATAATAAACAATAATCTTAAGAATAAAGCTACTAATTATGGCAGTCGGCCAAATAAAGTCAAATCCCTTGGTCGTCTTCAGGGAGCATGTCATTCAGTGCTTCCTTCAACAGCTCCGTCTTCAGCAACCATTTCAATGTATTCAAGGAAACAGCCTGACAAGCCTCCATGAGAAGCCAGTTCAACAAAAGGTGGCAGCCATCGCCAAGAAGGTTTGATTTCTAGCAATTACCTTCTGTGCTTTTCTAGGAGTGGCCACCCACAGTAACAAGGCTTGAGAAGATCAGGTGGGGCAAGCAGAAGTTCTTAACCGGAGACTTTCCAACATTTAATGAGGATTCATTCATTTTCATGAATCCAGATGGCCAGATGCCTTTGGCATACAGTAGTAAAAAAATTCACTCAACAGAAGCTCCTGAAGCAACATCCAAATTAATCTCAACTACTGTATATGCTAAACTTTTCTCCTAGCTTTGACAGTGTAGAAATACCACACTTACACATAAAAGTGTCTTGAATGTCATCAATATCCTACCTCCAAATCACACCGAAAAAAAGAGTTTGAGTCATGAGGATCACAGCTTCAGTTCTTTCATAGATTCATTCTTTGAATGTAAAGAGGAAAAACATGCTGATTCAACCTTAGCACTGTGCTCAGTATCAAGCAAGATTTAATGTACAGTAGTTCCTGTTGCCATTGTGCATTTTATGAATTGTTGACTAGCATTTCAAGGCCAAAAAATGATGACTCATGAATGGAGGGATGTATCAGTCCTTCTCTAGCTCTCTTGATGACATTCATACATAAGGAATTCATTGTAGATGTGAACTGGCTACACATTTCACCCACCATATGGATAATGTCGAAAAGAATGTGAACCTTCGCATTTATACTCCTCTTCTTCAACTCTTCTTCTTTCCTGACTCTAGTACCATATTCCCCTCTACTCCGGTGACATTTAACCACAGCAGCTAATGCTGCATCAGTAATCACCAGAACCTTCCCTTTTGCCTGATCACCAGGATGATCAGTAAATTGTGGTGGAGATGGTAGAGGTGGTGGCAGTATAATAGTCCCCCTCCTGATTTAATGCTCTAGCCTTAAATGGAGGACAAGAGGAGGGCCAAGAGACGGGCAAAAAAATCACTTGATTAATTTGGGAAGAAAGTGAGAATTCTCTAAGATCATTATTGTTCTTGTTTTGACTTTTATACCATCCCATAGTGCTAGAGTACTCTCTGGGTAGCTTACAACATAATTATGCAAGGACCGTTTCGCCCCCAAGGGAGATGGGTACTCATTTTACAAACCTCAGAAGGATAGAAGGCTGATTCAACCTTGAGCCAACAATCTTAATATGTCAAGATCGAACTCAGCTTGTGAGCAGAGGCTTGACTGCAGCACTGCAGTTTAACCACTGCACTGCAGGTTGAATGATCATGACCGTGGGTTTAGATTCATTTGGAGGCAAAGTAAGAAACAGCCAGTGGGCAACTGGGCATAAGGGCCTGAGAGGAAGACTAACAGCTCATTCTGAAGAAATTACCAATACAGTAATGAAATGCCTGTGTGTTAGAAGAGCCATAGCCTAGAGACTGCCAGTATATGCTTTGGATGCATACTCCTATTTGAGATAGAATAACACTCAGAATCATATCACAATTGTTAAGGTAAATGCATATTTCCCCCCTCTTACAGCATTTTGCAAAATAAATGTTTGAGAAATTATACACTCAAAGAAAGCCATGGTTATCTTCTGATAAACAGAAGCAAGGCAATGTGCAAATTGAGTCAAGCTCATGTTAGAACAAACAGATCTTCTTTTACTTTTTATGAGAGCGCTGCTCCTTATGACGTTAATATCATTGTCTCATTTGGCCCTGGGCCCGGAAGAGCAACGGTTTGATGGTATGGACTACCTTATTGCTCTGTTTAGCCAATGAATCATCTTCTAGGGATTAAGGCAAGGAACACCCTTAATTGTTAAAGGGAAAGCACCAAAAGCAAGGACCATAAATGGAGATTAGACGAAGATAGTTCATTTCAAGCTGAAAGAATATGTGGTAGCTTTTACCTGCTGTGATTCCACATCTGAGCTAGATGTAAAAAAAGAATGTTATCTAGTAACTGTTCTCAAGAACAATGGGATCTGACATGCCGAGCTAATTCTACCAGTGGATTAAATTAAGGCCATATTTTGGCTTCATTTTAGACCTCTGCTAAAGAAAACAATGGTTTTACAATATTCATATCTGTGCAGAGTAAGAAGTGGAAACATAGTGATGCTTCCTAATTTTTTAAGCACTCATTATGGCTCCAATTTGCTTTTGATGCTCTAACTGACAGTTCTCTTGCCAGTTGTTGCTAGCTATGTTCAGGCTCATATACCTAAAAAAGAAAAAAGCCTCACAGTTTGGCACTCAGGATAAACCAATTTAAGGACTCAAAGGGCGGAGAAAATTGACCATAACCAATCAACAAAGCATGATGTGCTCATTATATAAAGATGCACAGAATTGGTAGGGATTCCTTGTAGTGAGGCCAAGTTGTGAATTCATCTCCTAGGGATTTAAAAGCTACTGCTGACAAGTCATATCTTGGGACTTTTTGTTCCAAGTACATCACCTAAAACTGCTGGGAAAATCTGCTGACCTATTGATCCACCAGATCAGCCGGTGGAGGGATGAGATCTCGTGGATTCAGTTGAGCTACAAGGCAGACGTCATAACTGTCATGCATGAGGACGTTGACAGCAACAACGTTCCACTGATTCTCCCAGGTGTCCAGCTCTAGGATCTCTTTGGTGATAACGTCGTGCCGAGCTGTAACAATAATAAAAACAGTAACAAAAAATGTCAACAACAACAACAACAACAAAAACACAAATGTAGAATCAACAAAAGCAGGCCATAACCCAAGTTCTGCCTTGATGTAAATAAAAATGCAAGCATATTTTTCTGCTATGCCAGGAATCAAAGAAGATACGGCCATGACTGAGCTGGCTGGATAGTTCACTGAGTTGGAGTGGGTGCCTGCAAAGCAAGAGGATGAGAGTTTAATTCCCACCTGTGCATCCTAGGAGAAAAGACAGCCTTGGGCAAATTGCACAGTCCCAGAATGCCCCCAGAAAAAGGGAATGGGAAACTAGTTCTAGGTCCTTCTTACCTAGAATGCACATTTTGAAAATCCTGAGTATGAAGCATTAACAGAGCTATTCAGCCAGAAACATTTGGTTGAGCTGATCCAGCTTGTGATCTAAGGAGTGCGAAGTAATTTCATCTTCTGCTTATATCAAGATAACATCATTCATTGTATATTAATTCTGAATGCAAGCTGCTTCTCTGCTGTCTTTGCTGAATGCCTAGGAATTCTTCCTTATTCCCGGACATCTTTTTCTCATGCCTTGTCCAACAGCATGCTGAAAAAATCCTAAACTACTCTGGGAATATCCAAACACTGCCTGAATGTCCCTTGAGGGGCTTCTCCTCCAGCCATGATCCAATGCACAGTCCCTGCATAGAGATTGCAAGGTCAAACTAGATGATGGATTTAGCATTTTGTTTTCCTATTTTGCAGGCATATACCTCCTAAGTGGTGAAAGGCACCTGTTTATCATAACATGTGCTAAATCCCTTGCAGCTCAGTATGCTTTTTTTTATGATTTCTTGCTGGAAGAGAAACGTAGACTTAAGGTATATGTCTAATAGATGCTAAGGCATCTATTCGCGAGAAAATCCCATTGTGAATAGGAAAGTGGATTAAATGTCTGAAATAAACGTTTCTCTTTACATTTAGTTTGCCCATAAGGTTGTGCCTATGCCAGAGCCCTCTAATGCTGCCAACGTGTTGTCTTCTGCTAGAGGCAGAATTAAAACAGAAGCATTTAAGATAGTGGTAGATAAGCCAGATCAGCATTTGATAATGGGCGGAAGCCCAGGAGAATTTATGCCAAACAAAACTGGTTTAGTTTTTAAAGTGCCCCAAGGTTTTTTTTGTTGTTTGTGAGATTCAGACATTCTCTTCTCCAAAATATACCATTTTCTCCCAAGTAAGCCCTGTTCAGCAAAGTTTCTCTGCAGCAGGAGAGCAGATTTCCAATCTCTTGGGTAGAAAGGCTGAGTGAGACAGGGAGGTAGAGACCCAGAATAAAACAGCCCTCAAGTTCTGCTCTTGCCTGTGCATACTATCCCATGTAAGTAACACAGCATAGTTGTGTGTTGTATGAGCACAATAAATATGTATGTGTTACTTAAGCAGCATTAAACATCAGTTTGTTTTGTCTGCTCTGTAAGTATATCTGACGGATGGCTGTCACGCATTATGCATACAGCCACACATATACATTACTTGTGCACATTTCCCAAAGGCTAGGAAGAACTACTACAAGAGTGGTCAGGATGAAAACTCATAACAAGAAGTGGTCCTGGCTTTGAGCCCCTCCCTTTCCCCCCCTACTGGCCCTATATCCATATCCTGAGCATTGGTTTACATGTTCAGTTGCATGACCTGGAAGAAAGCCAAGTGCAACACATATGAATGGTTTCCTAGCATTTGGTGTAGTCATGGGGGAGAAAAAAACCAGGAAACAAAGATTATTCACTTTTGAAGGGAACCACAACCCTTTCACAAGTGAACCAACCTACTGGATTGAATGCAAGTTTGGGAATAGAGTCAACCACAATAGTTAGACCTACATTAAATTTAAGAGCTGTATGGTTTGGGTATCTGGCTGTGGAGCCAGAGGTTTGGATTCCGATTCCCCACTGTGCCTCCTACAAGAAGAGCCACCCTGTGTGTGGCCAAGCTGCATGCTCCCAAGATGCACCGAGAAGAAGGGAAGGGTAAACCACTTCTGATCACTCTCTATCTAGAAAACTCTAGAAAGGGTCACTGTACAGTAAGTTGGAACTGATGTGACCACTTAGGACAGCAATATATATTTGAGTTGCTTCCCAAATTTTCTTTCAAAAAAAATTAGCAGCCATTGTAGGACAGGAAAAGACGAGGGTAGCTTAAACCTCTGTGTTTAATGTTTTGTAGGAAAACCCTTTTTGGGCTTCTGGAAACGAGATTTTGTGTTTTGTATGGGCATTCGTTTTAAGGTGTAGTTTCTTGCACAGCATGGCAAGAATATTGGAAAAACCTTCTGGTGTCTCTCTTTTGGACTTTTTCCATTTGGAACAACTGATGAACTTGGCAGGGGCAGTGAGCCTTAAGCAACCCTGTTAAATCAAACCAGGCTCACAATAGGCAGCTTTTAACTGAGGCTGAGAAATTGTACAGTCACAAAAGAGCCACCAAGCAAGAAGGAATTTTGCTTCAGAGCTCTTTTCTTCCTTCCTTTTTAAAGGTGTAGAGAACGGAAGAGACATTTATTTTGTAGCACAAGAGCTGGACTTTTTGACACTTCTCACAAAAAGCCAAGTTCTTTGCTACAAATGCAAAGTTCTTTTCATCCCCGTCTCCTGCTGTCTACTTGTTCTTTTTAATTTCACAGCCCCGTCTCCCCATGAGAAGCTTTAAGCTCAACTTTTACTACTGGAAAAAGATGTGGACCAGTTTCCCCCTTCCTACCTGCTTGAGTATGACTGAAACCTAAGAGCAAAACTACTCTGAGGTCTAGTAGACCCACTGAATCCATCAAACTTTGGTAGATCCGTAGTTGTGTAAGTCCCATTAATTCAATGTGTCTACTCTAGTTGGAGTACTAGCTTGCTTTCCCTCAAAAGATTCATTGAACTATTTTACACACTACACAGCAACGAACATGAGTCAACCCATGTCTGTTTAGCAGGGATCCACAGGGAATCCCAGGTCAGATACTACAATGTCATATAAAAAGAAAAGACTAGTAGCAACTGTTATTCCTTCTAAATATCACAAACAAAAACAAAGAAAACGTTGAGCAGATAATACATTGATTCTGAAATTTTAGGCGGAGGGGTAGCCACAGTTTCCTGAGCAGCAAACACCAATAAAAACATGTGACATAAAACCAACCATTAAGCAGGTTGTTTTAAGTGTAGCTAGTACAATAATAAGAGGCAGTCCCGAAACCAGCAAAATCAGGGAGATGGACAGGGGACAGATTGTATTTGCCTTCAGTGTGGAAGGGATTGCCACTCTCGAATTGGCCTTCTCAGCCACACTAGATGATGTTCTAAGACCTCTATTCAGAACATGTTACCATAGTCTCTCGAGACTGAAGGATGCCTAATTTAATCTAAGAACAATAACAGACAGTGCAAATACACAGGCTTGCAATACAACTGGCATATAAGTGCTTTTCCATGTAACTGTCCAAAACATTTTTCCTTTGCATGATGTTCCTATGAGCTATTCCAACAACTAGTCATTCTAAGACAGAATATATCTGGGCAGGAAAGGAATACCTGCTGTAGAACTTTAAGCTGTATAATTAAATAGGTGACTGCGTTGCAGGCAAGGGCCCAAAATTAAAGAGCCACTGTGGCACCTTGGTTAAACAAATCAGACTAGGAACTGAGAGGCCTGGGTTCAAATTAGCCATGAAGTGCACTGACTGACCTTCAGCCAGTCACTTTCTGTTAGCCTTCTGGCTCCCAGTTAGTGGTCCAGGTACCACTGGCAGACACATGAGCAAGCAGTCAAGCCAGAACACAGTGTTTTCATGAAAATGACAAAAATGCACATTGCTACAGAAAATGCACATTGGCTACAGAATCATACTGAGAGGGTGATGATTAATGGGTCCTTCTCTAACTGGGAGGAGGTAGGTAGTGGGGTACCCCAAGGCTCAGTCCTGGGCCCGCTGCTCTTCAATATTTTTATTAACAATCTAGATGAGGGAGTGCAGGGAATGTTTGCCAAATTTGCAGATGACACCAAATTGGGCAAAATTCAAAATGATCTTAATAGGATGGAACACTGGGCCAAAAACAACAGAATGAAATTCAACAGGGATAAATGCAAAGTCCTGCACCTTGGAAAAAGAAACCAATTCCACAGTTACAAGATGGGGGAAACGTGGCTCAGCAAAACTACAAGTGAGAACTTGGAATTGTCATAGATCACAAGCTAAATATGAGCCAACAGTTTGATATAGCTACAAAAAAGGCAAGTTCTACTTTAGGCTGCATTAACAGAATCATAGCCCACAATTCTAACAAAATATACTTCACCTCTTCTGAACAAAATGGGGGAAACGTGGCTCAGCAAAACTACAAGTGAGAACTTGGAATTGTCATAGATCACAAGCTAAATATGAGCCAACAGTTTGATATAGCTACAAAAAAGGCAAGTTCTACTTTAGGCTGCATTAACAGAATCATAGCCCACAATTCTAACAAAATATACTTCACCTCTTCTGAACAAATTCAAAGAAGGGCAGCAAGGATGATCAGGGGCCTGGAAACCAAGCCTTATGAGGAAAGGCTGAAAGATCTGGGCATGTTTAGCCTTGAGAAAAGAAGATGGGGGGTGGGTGATATGATTGCACTTTTCAAATATTTGAAAGGCTGTCATACAGAGGAGGGGCAAGATCTGTTCGATCATTCCAGAGTGCAGAACCTGCAACAATGGGCTCAAGTTAAAGGAAGCCAGATTTCGGTTGAATATCAGGAAAAACTTCCTAACTGTTAGAGCAGTACGACAGTGGAACCAGTTACCTCAGGAGTTGGTGAGTGCTCCAACTCTGGAGGCATTCAAGAAAAACTTAGATAATCACCTGGCAGACATGCTTTGATTATATTCCTACATTGAGCAGAGGGTTGATGGCCTACATTGAGCAGAGGGTTGATGGCCTACATTGAGCAGAGGGTTGATGGCCTACATTGAGCAGAGG